GCAACGAACTTCGGAGGTTCAGGTAGTCTACCCGCGATGGCGTGGATTGACTACAAGTGCTACCAAGTGTGACGGGGTCACACAGCACCTTGCGCTAGAGGAAGTTATCTTCCGAGAGTATACAAACTCTCAGTGAACGGCAGGTCACAGGTCCCCTCTTTAATTAAAGAGAGCGAAGTGACCTAAATAAGGGAGATTGTAAACTGAGTATATTTATAGGTAGGGTAAGTTTGAGGGTAATACAAACTATCAGTTACCTATAGTAATGCAATGTCATTTAACCAATGGTTGGTTTTGAATGACCTTGGTACCTTGTACCAAATATCCCGGAGTATGGACATGTCATACTCCTGAAGTGTGGAGTGTCACACTTCATGTAACCAGGGTACACTTAGTGCTACGTACCCCGGTACAGTAACGCTTACCGACTTAGATTTTAAACCTCTGGGAGTTAGTAGCGGGAATCGAGGAGATATTGACGTGGACAAGACACGCACATACAATTAGTACTGTAAAAACGAAGTCGTACGCTACGATTTACATTAGGCGGTTCCAACTCGGACTTTCTGGTAACGGAGGGGTAGATTCTGATTCCGAACTTTGATCCTCTTTATATACCACGCTAACCGCGATCACCGGTGCGAGAATCGACTCATCCAATCTTGAACTTTTCTTACACAGATATCGAGACTTGACGGGCTTGATCACCGATGGGGTTGGTGTAGGAATAACCTCAGCAATAGCTGGGGTATTCGGTTGAGGCGGCATTTCTTCTATTATGTTAGTCTCTACGACAATAATTTCCTCTCGATCAATAATAATCGCGTTGTTGCCACATTCTTTGTTGCGAGCAAGTTTTCACTGCTCCACGTTGCTTTTAATGAAGCTGCACATTTTCGTAGTTGTGTGACTAAAATTATGTTTTGTTTATTTTTAATAGACTTCGCTTAAGATGGACTCGTCATTTTTTAAGATGTCGTACTCAGGAATTTTCAGCAGACGACACATTAGCGGGCTCATCAGTGTATAGTGTCATCGCTAAATATTGTATGAGTACGACACATTAACGGAATCGACATCATCGAAGTGTCCATGTGTGAATTATTTTATATCCTTTATCGAAACAGGGGGGTATTGCTATGTTTTGATACACTTAGATGACGAGCTCATTGTTGCGAGAGGCATTGTGTTCGGCTTGCGTCGTCCATCTTTCTTTTCATTAGAAGCCACGATAGCAACTCTAGATCAATCTATATATCTCAGTGAAGAAGTGTACATCGTTGCTTCTGATAAGGTGGTTGCCTTTTTTGTCGGTACAATACCGGTTTACAGGGTGGTTTCGTTCATGAATTCATGATTGTTTTTGTCCAATCAGGTCATGAATTCATGGTATATCGGTAAATGTGAGATCGCGACGGCACCCTCGTTGTGACACCTTTTTTCGTGACTGAGATGTGCCATCAATTTATGAACTCGTCAATTCGCACTACTCGCTCACTACGTCCTTGAACTCATAAACCAAAAGACCTGAGCAGCCTTGCGCTAGTCCGCTTCTCGCAATGTTGTCCAGAGACTCCTCCACATCATTCAAGCGATCCTTGATGGTTTTCTTGCGGTCCATCTCTTCGCGGAGTGCATTGATCGTTTCCAGATGGATACCGACAAGAAATCCATCCTTGATAAGAAGTGCAGCACCAGAATCTCCAGCGTACGTTGGGCACGAATACATGATGTGTCTTCTGTGAGCACTGATGGAGATGCCGGCTACCGGAGCAAATCCCAGTTGATTCTTGAACACGTCTTGGTATTCGTCAATACCGAGTCGATACGATGCCAACACAAGATCATAGCGTCCTCTTAGTTCATCTGGTCTTCCATTCCATGGAGAAATGAAGAATGATCTGGGTTTGGACGACTTCAGAATCGCAAAGTCCAGCAGAGAGCTGCGAGCAACAACTTCAACAGCTTCAATACCTTCCTTCAACGCCAGAGACGCCATGCTTCCCACAGTGTGTTGCTCCGTTAGGTTATGGTCGCATGTCACCGCTAGAGTCGGGCTGAAAAACACACCCATTCCAACACCGTTGCGTTCTCCGTCTTCTTCCACGATCACAAATACTGCCTTTTCGACTTGTTCTTGAACGTTTGGCTGGATAAAATAGCGTGAATCGCTTTCTGCGCGCTTTGGCACTTGCACAATGAGCGCATTATCTTCATTATTCCCATACGCCGTCACTGGGGACCCCGACTGGGGCAGCAGCAACCCTTTCGCTTCGCATCGTACTCCGCCCGGGTTCGCAAAGACTGTGAGATCGGACGCAGCAATCTCTGCGAGGTGACTGTCTCTGAGCTTCTCCTTTACCGCATCCCGCAACGTATCCACATCTTCACATCCACACCACAGAGTCGTCGATGTGAGA